TCCTGGCCTTGTTTTGCCTGAAGATATTGAGCTTCTCCATCTCCTCTTTCCACAGATGTAGTCCTTCTGATTCCTGTGTATTTGAAGGTCCATGTGTATGGCTACATGTGTTTATGTTGTTGAAAAAGGGTATTTGCAATGAATAAGTCATTGGTCTTGCAAAATTCTGTCATGCAATCTCTGGTGTCATTTCTGTCACCAAGTCCATGTTTTCCAACCTCCAGTGACTCTTCTTTGTTCCCAACTTTTGCATTCAATCACCAGTAATAATCAATACAGCTTAATTGCATGTTTAGTCAATTTCACACTGCAGAAGTTGGTAAAAATCTTCAATTTCCTCAACTTTGACTTTGGTGGTTGGTGCATAAATTTGAATAATAGTAGTATTATTAACTGGTCTTCCTTGTAGGCATATGGATACTATCCTATCAGTGACAGCACTGTACTTCAGGATGGATCTTGAAATGTTTTTTGTGATGATGAATGCCATTCATCTTCAATTTGTCATTCCTAGAATAGTAGATCATATGGTTGTCAGATTTAAAATGGTGAAAACCAGTCCATTTCAGCTCACTAATGCCTAGGATACTGATCTTTATGCGTTCCATTTAAATGAATGGTGTTCCATTCACATGAACTGCTATTCATAAGGTTTTCACTGGCCAATTCTTTGGTAAGTGGATGGCCCTTCCTTCTTCCAATTCTGTGTTAGTCTGGAAGCTCTGCTGAAACCTGTCTACATTGGGTGATCCTGCTCGTATTTGAAATACCAGTGGCAAAGCCTCCAGCCTCACAGCATCAGGCAGGCCACCACAGTACAACTAACTTGACAGATGAGAGGTGCATATGGCTGTGAGGTAGGAAGAATTTTTCTTTTTTTTTTTTTTTAAATACACTGCCATCAAAAATTATAATCTGCAAATTTTTTAAGAGTCCAGGGTTTTTGCTGTTGTTGTTTTCCTTCTCTTTTATATTGAAAATCTGTGTTTCTTCTCTCAGTTGAGGCTTTCAATAGATAACTTTATTGGTTTAATGAAAATAGTTCAGCTTGACTTAGATCTAACACCTTGAAATACAAAATATTCTTTTTGATTCAAAGGAAAAAGAATATTGTTAACAGTTATTTGAATGCTTTATAGTTTTGGTCTACATGAAGATATGGAATATTCCTCATGGAACCAATATAAACCTAAAACTTCATAGTAATGCTGAGAATTACATAGAGTTGATTAGGTCTAATAACTGGCTGAACACAGATTTTTGCTTTGCACTTGTTTCAGTAAAGCACCAAAGTCCCTTATTAAGACAGAAACTTGAAACGCAATAGATTCTTTTAATAAAAGATACAGTATTAAGCCCATGTGAGAGAAGAATCTGATTTCCCCCTTTTACTGCTGCCTAAAATAAGAGGTTTTAAACTGTGGAATATTTGTCAAAAATGAAAGATCTACATGTCTGATAGCTACAGTTGGAAAAGTGCATTTTCTTGAATACTTCATAAAGCTGGTTTAAGAACAATTTATCTGTACAAAATATGACCTTTGTAATGCTGCCAGGGTCAGAAAGACCCAGAGCAATTATGTAAATAATTGGAAATTGTCATTGCCTGGCACAAATATTTCTCCAGGGCTTCAGAAGTTGCTGTGTCTAAGTAGGGAGTGTTTTTGGTTGGCCAAATTCCTTCTCTTTCTCTGCTTACTCCCCTTACCCCCATGTAAACGTTCCATCTCTCCTTACATTAATGGGTAATTATTTCATGGGGGTCAAATGAGATCATGAAATCTCATGAACCTTTTTATTAGGAACTTTTTAATGTCCATCTTGTTTTCTTGTGATGGAAAAATAATTGCATCTAATTTCTTTCCAATTTATTTTTAAAAATCTAATATTTTCTTTATTAATATTTACAGATAAATTTTAGGGAGACATCTTTAAGGAAAGTACTTTGCTGACTAGTTCAATCTGGCCACTTGATATTTTGAGTTCATTCACCTGAATCCATAGTAGCTTTGGAAGAAATCAATTCACTTTCATTAGAATTGGTTTGCTACCAAAGAACATATCATTCTTTTTGCCTATTTCAATAATGTGAATCTGAATATCAGTTAAAGAGATAAATGTCTTATAAGAAAAAAAAAAAAAAGGAAAAGGTTGAATGTACAGTCTTTGGGGGGGGAAATGAGCTTTTCACTTTTAATCCCTTAACGGTAGGGGCCTCTTTGTATATCTAAATGTCTTTTATTCTCACTCAGTGGCATATCACTGTTCCAGGAGTGTAATAGGTGGTTAGTAAATATTTGTAGAATGAAAAAACATTCCTTACCCTATTCACTGATGCTTGCCACTTGAATCACTTTGAACTTCTGACAAAAGAAAAGTAATTATCATCACAAGTAAAATATATTATCTTCCTACTTTGGGAAATTTTTATTTTGCTTCATCTTAATTTACTGTCCTGCCTTATAACATCTAAACTTTTACATAAGTAATTTGTTTTTCTCAACTGACTTCTAATTTCTTTAAAACTTGGGAACCATAATTGTTGTTTGTTCACCATCTCTTTATTCCACTACTTTCTTGTGAATTAACTTTTCTTTTCACTGAAGAACATTCTTTAGTAGCATTGTTTTCGCAAGAGTTTATCCACTGCTAGTCTTCATGTGTCTGAAATACCCTCCATTAGACTTTAACTAGGAATAAAACTCTAACTTGACAGTGTTTTCTCTCTGTACTTTGGCGATATCATCCCATTATCTTCTGGTGGTGGTGGTGTTAACAGAAAGTCTGCTGTTTGTCTGTTGTCAATTCTTTGTAAGATACTTGTCCTTTCTGTCTGATATTTTAAAGATATTCTCTTTATCTCTGATTTAACAAGGTACAGATTTATTTTCACTTTTACCACTAGGGATTCTCTCTGCTTTTCCGGTTAGATGATTCACGCCTTCCTCAATTCTCTGCTGTTACGTCTTTGGCATTACTTCTTCACTTTTTCTGTTCTTGCCTTCTGCATTCTAGAAATTTGGGTATGTATTCTGCAATGTCTCCTGTCTCTTCATTTCTCTTATTTCCTTTTCTTTGTTTTCTTTTTCCCTCTCTCTTCACTGTATTCTGAGTAATTGTTTCAGTTAATCAACTATCACTATAAGGCTGTTGAGTCTGTGGCTGAACGCAGATTTTAAGGGTTTTTTTTTTTTTTT